AAAAATCTTTATCAATATGACCAAAAACCTGCTCTCTTAATCACTAAACACAAACTAGACGCGGAAACTGGTCAGCATCTCCCTAAAAATCAAAAAATTTTCCGTCACTACAACTATGAAACCCAAGAAACTTCCTATTTTTATCGCACGAACGAAAAACTAGCTGGCAAATGTTCCAGTCCCATTCTCATCAAAAAAAATTATCGCTTAGGTACTCGTTCACTCAACTCTTTATCTTTACTAAAACTAGCCCACAAAGCCAGTCGCAAAGAACTTTATCACTTTAAAAAACCTAAAGCACAACTCAACCAAGACTTCCAGGAGTTCTTAATTACCAGACTACTTCTGCTGTGTAATAAAGCCGAATTCTTGCACACTCCTCTCGAACAAGAACAAGTCCCTAAAGAAGCCGAACAGTGTAGTCAATCCATTTATCACCATTTCCAGGTCAAGCCGGTCTTGCACTTCTCTTTTTTACCTGAACAAGCCCCCATTATTCGTCAATTCATCGACAAACTAGACACCTATGCTCTGGAATATGATATGGAAGAAAGCCAAGACTTCTACTCCTACCCCATCACCCACAACCAAAAACACGAAACCATTACTAAATTAGGTGGCTTGTGCGGCTGTGAAACTCGAGCCCGCAACCAATACCTAAACAACTGAAATATGAACTACTACTCCACTTCTGACCAATGACGAAGAACCATCATGTAGAATAAGAGACACTTATTAACTAGGCTGGTGTCCATGCTGGTCTAGTTGGAAACATCTGAGCCTAATCAGCGGAGTTAAATAACTCCCGTTCTTCCACTCCTGACGCCCTGATTAGGTGCTCCCGCCGATATGGTGTAGCGTCAGGAGGAATTCATTCTACTATTATGTTCACCTTATTAATCACTCTCCTTTTCGGAATCATCCTCGGCTTACTCTGAGCAGGTTTTAATGGCTGATTATTCTTTCGAATCGCCAAAATAAATTGTCCGCAGTGTAAACAACTAAAACCTTTAAAAGAAATCTTTGTTTTTAATTGAAAAACCCGCACCATTACTGGACGACCCTGCCACCAGTGCCAAAAACCTAAACCCCAAGTATCTATTGAATTATAAAAATATGTCCCAAGAATTACAAATTAAAGCCACCATTATTGATATTGAATCCAAAACTGACAAAAATGGCCATCCCTACTATCGCCTTAGTTTACAAGGAATGCCTGCCCGTTATTTTTACGCTTTTAGTTATAACCTCAAAGAAACCACCCGTGAAATTTTAAATTCCCCATACAACCTCATCAATCGCCAAGTCTTAATCACTTACCAAGAATTACCTAACCAAGACCAAAAAGGCACTTTTTTTAAAGTTAAAGAAATCGAATTAACTTAACACAATCACCACTTTGGTTAAGTTAGACTAGTAAAACACCACTCAAATCACTGCTAACTTAACAAAAACATCAAACCTTAACTTAACATTTTTACCATTATGTCCCAACTAATTTATAAAAATGGTTGCTGAGGTTGTAAAAGGACTCAAGAAGATCCACAAGAAAAATATGTCTGTCCTCAGTATCAGCAACACTTAACTGCCTATCAAAATCAAGAATTTTAAAAAACTAGGAAATAATTGAAGTCCAAGTTATTGATGCTAGTGATCCACAAACCTGAGACAGCGACACGCTTTATAACTTGGCAGAAAAATGTAAAGAAGTGATTAAACTTTTAGAAGACAAAAAGTCTGAACTTTTTAATATTTCTCTAACCAGCAGAGAAAAAATGATTACTGAAACTGGACTTTGTTCTTTGGTCGATAGTTATCAAGAGGAAAAAGATGATTAAAAAACAACTAGACCAAGTTTTAAACTTCACCCAAATTCAAGCCCTCTGTTTACCACCCCCTCATCTCCACCTCCCCCAACGCCATGATAAACTCTTAGAAACTGTGCTACTAATGGGTTATCTTGGCTTGCGAGTTAGTGAAGCCATTAACTTTACTTGGCAAACTATTCCAGTAGAAGATAAACAAGCCTTTCTAGTCAATGGCAAAGGTCAGAAGCAACGCTTAGTCTTCAATCTCCTTAACAACGCTTATATCACCAAAAAATCCAAATCCGACCCCACCAAAGATAAGTGAAAAACCATTTCCCGCGTAGCAGTCTGAAATTATTTAAAGAAAAAAAGTAAAGAATCAAACCTCACCTGAACCATCACTCCGCACACTCTCCGTCGCTCATTCGCTTCCATTCTCCATTATGACTTAGGAATAGATTCCAGTTCGATTCAGCAACTGCTCGGTCATTCCCAATTCCGCACTACTGAGAAATATTTAAAAAAAGATGTCCGTTTTTTATTAACTAATTTACAACGTAAAGGCTTCCTTCTATAAAACTATGCTCTACTCCGATATTGAAAAAATCAAAATCCAAAACTATGCTTGTCAAGGCTGTGCTAATTGCTCTTCTTTAAAAGCCATAGATTTACGCACCAGGCAAGGAGTATTTACTTACTTAATCAAAAAAAGAAGTTGTTATTTAAGCAGATTAAAAAGTAAAATCTCTACTCTTCAAACTAAAGCGGAAGCAGTCAAGTTAGAAATCGAACAGTATCACCAGCAATTAGAGTTAGAAAAGGAAATTAAAAACAATTAATCAGAATGCCAAAAACTATCGCTACTTTTAAAGATAAAGATACTCACGATTTCTTTTTCGGAAAAAGAATAAAAAAATGAGAAAAGATTGCAGAAACCGCTCGTTCTAAACTAAAAATACTTAACCGAATTAGTTCTTTACCAGAATTAATTAATGCTTTTGATACTCGCTTACATAAACTTCATGGTAATCGAGCGGGACAGTATGCGATTAGAATTAGCCCGCAATATCGCCTCTGCTTTTACTGAATAAAAAGTCATGCTTACGAAGTAGAAATAGTAGATTATCATTAAAACTAAATTATCATGGTTAAAAGTAAAAAATTACCACCGATTCATCCGGGAACAATCCTCCACAAAGAATTCTTAATTCCGCGGAAAGTTAGTCAAAGCCAATTAGCCGTTAGCACTAATGTCCCGCTTAAGACAATTAAAGAAATTTGTCAAGCCAAAAAGCCAATTAATGCGGAAGTAGCCTTGCGTTTAGGAACTTACCTTGGAACTAGTGCCGAACTTTGATTAGGTTTACAACAAGATTACGAGCAAGAGTGCTTAGAGGATATTGTCGAAAACTATGGTAAGTCAATAAAAAAAGAAATTCGTCCTTATACCGGGGAGCGTCCACGAACTTCATTATTTTTAAAAAAGTAATCAGTAAGAAATTTAGTTTGTTTTTGAAAATTAATCCTACTTTAACTTAAAAAATGCCCAAAAACCCACCTCAGGTCTATTTTTAGCCTTTATTTTCTCTCTCTAGCTACTCTTTTTTACTTTAAATACTAATGCTTTGTCTTTATTTTTGTCTTTTTTAGACTAACTTCTTGCTCTTTTCTAACTTCTAAAAATTATTCTAATTTTTAAGTAGTCTAATAACTACTTAAATTAGCGAATTAAAACTTTTTATATGAAGATGATCGGTAATTGTCCCAACTCACTAATGATTGATTATCCTCCCAAAGATAAAAATAAGAAAAAACCCCAACCAACTATTATATTAAATTATGTTTAAAAGAAAAGCAACTACTCCGATTCGAAAAGTTTACTCCCGTTCTCTTAATACCGAACTCAAAAGAGCTTATGACTTAGTGCTGGCTGACTTATTTCAAACTTTCTTAAAAATGAAAAGTGGAGAAAGTATTCGCTTAGGTAATTTAGGAGCCTTTGAAAAGAAAGAACAGCAATTAAAAAGCGGTCTGGATAACGAAACTTATGTATTTGCTCGGATTAACTTTCGGATGTTTAGTAATTTAAAAGACAAATTAGATGAGCAAATCAGTAAAAAATATAAACTCCGCTAATGATGGACAAAAAAATAATCTTACTAATCATAGCCGTGATTTGCGTTGGTCTCTATTTTTATGGCCAGCACGCTAAAAATAACGACTATTTAAAACATTTACCCACGCTGGGTGGACTAGCCTTTGGCCTCAACACTCTCGTCAATTTAGCCCATTAAACTTATGGTAAAAATCGATCCTAATCAAACTCAAAACTCTAAACAAACCAATCAAACTAATGATTGCGGTTTTGATAATCAAACCAACCCTAATAATCAAACCCAAACTAATCAGAAACAACCATCAGGACTATTAACCATTATCGGTCAATTACTCCCTTTAGCCCCTTTTGCCTTTGAACAGTTCACTGGGCAAAAAGTTCCGCAAATGACCGGCACCATTGCCGAAATGCAAATGACTCTAATTAACATTCAAACTAACTTACAAACCATTGCCAATAATCAGCAAGCCCTCAGTCAACGACTAATTGCTTTAGAAAGCAGTGCTAACAATTTAACCAACCAATTTAAATCTTTACGCTTAACCCACACTAAGGAACAGAAGCAAATTGAATATAACCCACCCCAATTAGAAGAAAATCAAGAAAATTATTAACCCACCATGCTCAACCTCAATATGTTAGAACCCTTAATCAATCAAATTAAACAATTTACCCAAGCTCAACAAGAGACCAATAAACTCTTATTAGAAATCAAAGAAATAATGTATAAACATTATTGTCTGAAAGACCAATTACTAACTAAAAAATAATATGCCAAATATTGAAAATCTCCACCAAAAACCATTTACTAAAAGCCGTGATCACCTCTTAAATGTCCACCGTAAAGAAATCCTTTACCGGGAAGATATTAAAACCAGTTTTGGTTATGCTATTGCTGGCATTACCATTACTTTAGCCGTAGCCGGTGGTATCTATGTCATTGGTAAACAATTAGTCAAAAATTAATCAAATAAAAAACTATGAACACTAACGAAAATACTAACACTTGAAAATCCTACGTAGACTGATGACCAACTTATTTAGTCCTCGGAATAAGCCTCGCTTACTTTGTCGACCAAACCGGCATCGTCCAAAAATTAAGTCGCAAACTCTTTACTAACAAAGGTAAAGAACGAACTGAATATTAGTCTTTAACTCTTTTTTTTTAACTGCTCCTTATGAACTTCTCTCCTCTCTCTCCTGAACTAGAACAATTAGTCACTACTCTCTTTGCCGAAAGTAAGTGTGCTTGTCATGTCATTAATCCCCACAAGACCAGAATCTTAATGTGAAAAGAAGTAAAAGACCATGTAACTACTTACCATCTTAGAATAGGCATCCAAAAATTTATCTCCCAAGAGCAAATCGACCGCAATGGCGAGATTTATTGAAGATACTACTCTCCGGAAGTAAAGAAAGAGGAAAAGAAGCCAGAAGTAAATGAAGAAAGTAAAGAATTAGATCCCATCACTAAATTTCAGCAACGACAAGAACAAACAAGAGAATATGGTAAATCAAACTCTGAGCCAGCCGTTAACTCCTAATTTAGTTAACACAGTCCAACAATTAAGCACTAGTTTACAAACTATTCAGCCCATTAGTTCCGATCCACAAACCACCCAATTAATTACTTATACCCTAATTGCCACAGCCATCGTGGGTATTTTTGTTTATCACTATATCAAGCAAAACGAGAATTTATAAAGACCATGGGAATAAAAGACTATTTACCTGACTTTAAAGGAGCCCTCAACTCTTTTTATGATGAACGCTTAAAGAAGGCCTTAGAAAGCAAAAGTCAAGAATACAAAACTCTTTTGCAAGAGCATCTAACTCATTGAAAACAAACACAAAAGGCTTTAGTAGCCATTGCTTTAGGTATTTTCTTGCTCTTGATGATTGCTTATTTTTGAAAGTAAAAAATTGATATATATGAACAAGAAGAATAAGTATATTATCCTAGGGGAAATTAATATTGAACCTCTGCTTAATATGAAAAAACTCTTAGAAAAGGTTTTGGCTGAAGCCGAGGATGAAATAGACGAAATGGGAGCCGTGCAAGCCTTTGAAGTTAGTTACGAACTGGCTTGGCATATCTGCCAAAAAGTTTTAAGTTATCAAGGCTATCCAACTCGTTTTCCCCGAGAGACTTTTCGCCTCTCAGCCGAATTAGGCTTAATTAAAGATCCTGAAGTTTGATTTGACTTTATGGACAAGAGAAATACCACTGTTCACACCTATGACATAAGCATTTTAGAAGAAATATATTCCGTCTTACCAAAGTTTACTAAAGAATTAAATTCTTTAATCAAAAACTTGCAAAAATTAAAATAATGTTACAAGTTAAAAAAAGACATCTGAATGTCCTTCAATTAATACTAAGCAAATACCCTTACCAATTTTATGCTTATGGCTCAAGAGTCAAAGGAACTGCTCGCCAATTTTCAGATTTAGATCTATGTTATCAGGAAGAAATGCCGGGGGCAATTGCTACTCAAATAAGATGAGAATTAGAAGAATCCGACCTACCCTTTATCGTCGAACTAGTCTCCTGAAACCACATGCGTCCAGCCTTCCAAAAAGCCATTCAAAAAGACTTAGTATTAATTTCCCACCCCTCACGTTAATCTTAACCCACCCTTACTTTCTAATCTCACCTAATTATTAACAAAAAAATCTAATCTAAATATGAACCACAATCAAGAATTAACTATGAGTTATCGCTTCAAGTATCTCGCCGTCGGCATTGTCCTTTATGTCGTAGCCACTTATGCTTGAAAAGTATATCAAACTAACAAATCTGAATAAAACTATGCTCCAAAAACTTAAAGAACACAAATGAACTATCGCGGCTATTGTTCTCGCAATTATAATCGCCTATTACTTTTACCAAAAAAACTATGGTGAAAACAAATAAAGAAAAATACTGAGACCAAGTTGACCAACAAACCCATTACTTAATCGCGGATATCTTAAACCAATCCTTACCTTTACCTAATTTACGAGACAAAAAGAACTTCAACCTCGACCGGGATGCTGATTACCAAGAACTCCTTTTTGCTTATGAGAATAACTACTCCGGAGAAGAAAGATTACCCAGTAGCGAAAACTTAACCGAAGAGATAGCTTATGAATACTTGCTCTTAGTAGTCAAAAGTATTCTTAGAAGTCTCAGTGATTTTAACTGTCATCTTCCGGACTATTTTACTGGACTAACTGAATAAAAAAACTATGCCAAATATCAAACAACCAAAAAAAGTAAAAAAAACCCCTAAGAAAGCCAACCTTCCTAAAAAGACTAACTTACCCACTAAATCTAAATCCACCCATGATTACTACTGCTGTTGTGCAGAAAAAACTAAGCAAGGCCTAGCCAAAGGAACCAAAATCACCCAGTTAACTCAAACTTGTAAAAAGCAAGCGAACCAATTAATGATGGCTAAACAAAAGGTTCGTGAGACTGAGAAAAAAAAGATTATTCAGAATTGAAAACAAATTGGTTTAAGTTTAGGCAAAATAATTGATAATGCCTAATAAAAGACAAAATTTCTAATTTTGTTCTTCTGTATTATTTTTAGAATAAAAGTGATATGACTGACTGCTGTGAACTAGCTTTGCGGAATGGTGAATTAGCCTTACACATTGCTTACGGAGCCTTTGGCACGATTGCTTTACTATTGCTAATGTTCTTTGGTTATAACCTGAAATTAAAAAAAGGACAAATCAACTTAGACAAACGGACCGAAAAGTTAGAAAAAAAGAATGGGCATGAATTAGACTTAATTACTCAGTTAAAAACCAAAGATGAAGAAAAGCAGAAACAGATAGAGGAATTAAGGAAAGAAGTTGAGAGACTAAAAAGTAAAAATGACTAAATGCCTCTTCTGTCAAAAAAGAAAACCCCTGCCAGGCTCTAACTTGTGCTGATGATGTTCTTTAACCCAATTGCCTTGAAACTAATTAATCATGCCTAAAAAAGAGATTAAAAAAAGTCGTTCAGTAGAAGACTTAACCAAACCCCAAGAAAGTAAAGAAATCAAGGAACTAAAAGCCCAGATCACGGCTCTATTGGAACAAATCACTCGCCTTAAACAAGAAACCAATCAAACCCTTCAAACTCAAGAGCAAGTAATTAAAGAATTAACTACGGAAAAAAATAAACTTTTTGACCAAAATAGTGAATTACGGATCAACAACTTAAAACAGAAAGATTACTTCACCAAATACCAGTCAGAAAGTAAACTAACTACTCAGTTAAAGTTACAAGTTGCTCAATTGCAGAAAGACTTAACCATCAGCCAGCAAGATCTCAAATCTGCCCAAAGAATTATTGAGTTAAGAACTATTAAACCTGTTGATAATGATCAAGAAAAAAACTCCTTTGACTACTGAACCTGAATCAGAATGGGTAGTTTAGCCCTTCTCATTTATTTACTCAGCCAAGATAAAGAACACTAATCATGAATAAATACTTTAATTTATCTTTATTGCTTTTAGAATAAAAACAATATGAATGACTTACTTTTTTATACCCTAATCATTGCCCTCCTCTATTACTTCTTCTATTACCTACCTAACCAGAAAAAGTCTTTATCTCCTCCTAAACCCTTTACCCAAGACCATAGCACCCAAACTCCTGATCCAGCACCAGTTATTGAATTTCCTTCTGCTCAATTTAAACCTGTTAATCAAGAAGACCCTGAATTAGAAAAAACCCTGGACCAACTAATTAAAAACATTCAGCAACTCAATAAATCCCTCAAATAATCATGCTCAAAAACAAATTAGAACTCTTAACTAAAGAATTCACCACTCTCAAAGAGAAAATCACGGCTAAATTACAGCAAAAAGATAACACCATCACCGAAACCAACACTAAACTTACTGAAAGCAACCGAAAACTGGAAGAACTAACTAAAGAAAACACTGCCAATGAAAAGGTTTTAGAAACTTTGCTCAAAGAGTTTAAAGAACTGGAGCAAGAATTAAATAAATAGCATGAAATGCCTTAATTGTGGATCAGACCAGGTAGGAATTTTATCAAGAAATGATCCTTGCCGAACTTCCGGTTGCCCAAACAAAATAACTGTTTGTGTAGAATGTAGATGCACTAAAACTTCCTACTGTCCTAGTTGTCAGGAGAATCTGGTTAAAGAAAGAGATCGAGCCAGAAAGAATGAACTCGAATTAATGGAAGATACGACTAAGTTAGAAACCGTCTTAGACCAAGTAAAAAAGAAGTTGGGAGAATGAACTCAATTATTGACTAAATAAACATGCTCCGCGAACAAGTTTTAAACCACTGAACTAACTTAAAAGAAAAACTAAGCCTCGTTCAGTATCTGCACCAACACAAACCATTAATTATCGAAGCCTTAGAATTCCATTTAAACCAGGCTTCTTCTTTTACTTCGGAATACTCTAATCCTCCTTTTTTAAACCGAAGATTGATGGAACAACAAAAAGAACGCTTAACGAAAGACTTAGAAAAGTTAACTCAACAACAAACAGAAGCAAAAATTGAAAGACATCGTCAACAACTTGAAAAAGACCAAGCGGAAATTAAAAAACAAATCACTAACTTAGCCACCATCTTAAATGATAATACCGTCATCAATAACTTTAACTCACAAAAGGAAAAAAATGAAAGAATAGTAAAAGAGTGTAAAGAGTTATTGAGTAAGTTAAAGGAATAAAAATAAAATGACTAATCCATTACCACCATTCTTAGTAAAGAAATTAGAACCAGTAAGGAATGTAGTGGTTGAGAATGAGAGGGAGGAGTTGAGGAGGATAATGAAAAAGAAGGAGATTTAAGAATATTGTTAAAGAAATAGAAACTTAAGAAAATGACATACAATGCACAATATATCGAAGAAGTATTCACTAGAATAGCCAGCATAAGAATAGGCGAAAAAATCCAAGGCGATGGAGGCTATTGATATGGTGGTCGTTGTGAATGAGGCGGAGCCCATAACTTGCAAGAGGATTGTCAAACACTTGCTAAATTCTTTACCAAAACTTCTGAACTAAAAAATACTAAGAGAAAACTAAGCAGTTTTGAAAACAAAGAAGACTTTGAAAATCTAAAGCAAGACTTGATTTCACAATGCAATACCTCTATTGCCGGTCTACAAACTCAAACTGGTGCTAATACTTCTGTTGGTGGCGTTTGTATTATTTGGGACGATTTTGTTGACCACCTGAAATCAATATTGGATGATGCTCGTAGCGAGATAGAAAAACTAAAGAGAGATATTGAAAGAACCACTTATGATGTAGCAAGGAAGTTAAAGAGACTTAAACTAGAAGAAAAAAGTTTGCAAAAATCGATAGAAGAAAACATGAAAAGAGCCCAAAATGAAAAAGACCCTGAAAAAAAGAGAAGATTCTTAATTCTAGTAGATGATGATAAAAAAAAACTAGCAAACAATTTAGAAGAACAAAAAAAGATTAGAATAGGCGATAACCTGAATATTGATGGTTATATTCGGGATTTCATTGAAAAGATAGAGCAAAAATTAAATCCTAACAGAAATCCTAGGACTCCAAATCCTAATCCAAATGGTTCAGGTAGTGGTTCTGGTTCGGGAACAGGAAAAAACCCAATCCCACTTAATCCTTTCCAACCTAACCCCAATCAAAACCAAAAAGATTGATTTCAAACTAATAAGCATCTAATAATTTTTGCAGGCATTGTTGTTGTAATCTTTTACTTCTACTCCCAAAAAGATGAAGGCTATCAAACAACTAGAAAAAACCAAGTGCAGTATGAATAATTATGAATTTACTCAGACCTACCAACCAAAAAGAAAAGCAGAAACAGCAATTAATCATAGTTCTTTTACTCTGTGCTACAGCCTATTACTTTTTGGTTTATCTACCTGATCAACAAAGAAAACAGTTAGAAATGCAAATTCAAGAAACTATTAATCAAGTAGCCCAAGCCCAGCCTCATGAGCATTCCTCTTTACTAACTACTTGTCAAGGATATTTAAGATGAAAAGATGGAACTCCTTCTCAACAGGAGGCTTTAGAAAGCATGAAAGAAGAATTAGACAAGGCTATCAATTGACTTATCCAAGTTGAAAAACATTTAGCAGATGAAAACCAGAGATCCAGAAATGAGGAAGAAGTTGAAAAAAAGCGAAGGGAATTAGAGTTAGTCAAAAAAAAGAAATTTCATTGACTAAGAACACCTAAAAGTTGAGCGGATGACTATCTAATGGCTGATAAAGGAAAATATGATGCTAATGTTATAAAAGATACTATCGAAAAAGCAGATGCTTTTACATCTTTTGCTCACTATAAAATTCACTTTCCTCCTAGCCTTTGAAATTCATTAACCAGTGAACAACAAAAAAAGGCTAAAGCGAGTGGCCATGGTGAACTCACTCTCGATGAAGAAACCAAACAATTTGAATTCAATGATGACATTCAAGATTGATATGATAAAACATATTTAGACCCAAGTAGAGGTAAACCAGATCCAGGAAATAAAAAAGACAACAACGCTTTGTTCTATGGAACCGAGGGAACTGGCAAAACTTCTATAGTTAGAAAACTAACTTATGAAACTGACTGTTATCCATTAGTAGAAGTAAAAGGCTCTTCATTAAGTCCTAATAAGTTAGATGCTGACATTGGAATTGATGCCTTGGGTAAATTCATCTTCACTCTTTGTGATATTGAACATACTCTTGAAGATGATTTTGGCTTGCCAAGAGAAACTAATGGCGAAGTCCGTTATATCCTGTTTGTAGACGAAGCAGACTTAGTAAGCAAAGATGCTAGATTAGGAGAATACACTTATTTAGTATTTCTTAAAGAATGCATGGAACAAATTAGCAAAGAAAAACAAGCAGAAAACCTGTGAATTTTCGCTACCAACCATTTAAATATGATTGCTCGGGCAGTTTACCGCCCGGGTCGATTAAGTAATCCTTTAGATTTCAGTTGAACATTAGGGGATTTTATGAAGCATGCCAAAAAGGTTAAGATTAAGGATGAACAAGGCAATGTATTAAGAACAGAGGATATCACGACACAGTTTCCTCAACACTGGCACAGAACCGATACTTTGAATAATGAAGACAATAAATGGGTAAATAGATTTAACTCAATGAGTTTTAACGATGATTTTGTGCCTTTTTGAAAAAGGTTTATTGTCCATCCTGAAACTAAAAAGAAACTTCTAGAAATTAAAAAAGAAGATGCTACCCCTCAATATCCTGAGCAACCAGGTATCCAGTTAGGTGAATTCTTTGAATTTTTTTGAAATTTAAAAGATAGTAAGCAATTACCGCACTTTAATGGCAAATGAGATCCACCTCGCAAGCCTAAGATTGAAGACACAATACCTAAGATTACCGAAGCACTAGATGTTCGTTTGAAAGAGATTTATGACAAAGCAAAAGAAATTAAAGATGAAATGAAAGCAGCCAATCATGATTATACAACTCTAACTAAGATGGGCATTACCCAAATAACCGGAATGTTAGCCGAAATAGGAAAAAAAATCTAAAAACTATGACCAACCAACAACTAATTAAACAAATAGAAAGCAAAATAAAAGAAATCAAATCTACCCTTGCCAATTGAACTAAAAATATTGAAACCTACCACCAGCAATTAAAAGAATTAACTAAACAATTAAATACAATCAAAAAGCAAATAACTAAATAACTATGACAAGAAAAAAATATGGATTTTGAGATGCTGCTGGCGATCTGGTTGGAGCCTTACTAGCCGTTCCTACTTATGGAGCAAGTTTAACTCTTAGCCCTACTGCTCGGGGACTAGTGGGGAATGTTTTAGGCGGTAGCAGCGATAATGATAGCAATAGTATTAACCAAACTCAACAAAATTATCAAGCCCAAATGGAACAGTGAAAAACACTGTCAGAAGAAAGAAGAAAAGAACTAGAAAGATTGCGACAAAAAGAAGAAGAAAAAGAAAAGCAGATTAAAAAGAATGAAGAAGAAATAAATTCATTAAAATCAAAACTGGATAACCCAAATCTTAGTGAAGAAGAAAGAAATAAACTTAAAAAAAGACTTATTGTTTTAGAGGACGAGAACAAAAGATTAAAGGGTGAATTGACAACAATTAAAACCCAAATAACAAGCACAGAAAATGATAAACCTCCCATGCCAACTTCACCTAGCTCTTGAAAATTACCTAAATTAAGTGCTTACGATAAAATGCTAATAGCAGCAATATTAGTACTGATTATTTACTTTTTGTTTTTAAGGGAGGATAAGAGGAGGTAACTTTAACTAAGCAGCCACGCAAAAACTTTTTAAAATGTTCAACTGCAGAGGGGCTTTTTTATAAAACTATTAAAACTATAATATAGTAGAAGAATAGTTTGCTTATGAACATGGACAAGCAACAGCAACATTTAAAGAGTTTTGAAAAATTTTACTTCTTATTCAGCAAAGAATTAGATGATGACTTAAAAAAAATTGAAAATATTGAGGATACAGTAAAAAAGTACCATGAAGTTTTTAGGATGGTTAGTAAATATAAACTTCAAGAATCTAATATGAGTGAACATTATACTGCTGCTGTAAATTTAGGTAGAATTGATGATAAATACTTTAGCAATTTTAAGAAATATTCTGAAAAAGTCCGCCAACTAGAAAAAGCTAAAAACGAACTCGCTAAAAGAGATGAAGTAAAAAAAGATATTGAGAAAAGGGAAAACTGAAAACCTGCTCTTGAAAGCAATGAGCAAGTTAACTCTACAAAAAATGAGGCTTATCACTGCGATCAATGTTTTAAAGAAGAAAAAGGTCGATATTTATATCACAAATCAAAAAACGACAACCATAAATTCTGCTCCGCCAACTGCTACCAAGAATACTATGGTGAATACTGTTCTAAGTGTGTGAATGAAAACAAAAACTACACTAAATACTTAAACCTTATTCACGATAGAGATAACTCTTACTGTTCTACTTGCTATAAACTAGTAAAACAAGAACAACCAGAACAAGAATGAAATCCCACTATTTACTGTCGTTATTGTTCTACTAAAACTGAACTTTTTGAAGTTTGTGAGAAAAAAGAGTGTTTAGAGAAGATGAATCAGGAGATAGAGAATAAGAAAGGTGGGAATAGTAATACACAAGAGAGAAACCAACTCCAATCTCAACAATCACAATTACTTACTCAAATCATGCAATTAGAACAAAATCCTACTGCTAATCAATCAGAATTAGAGGTTAAAAAGAAAAAGTTAAAAGAATTACAAGAGCAAGAAAAAGAACTAACTAAGTCTTTACCACTAACTACTCAGATTAGTATTTTAGAAAAAGAGATTAAGGAGTTAGAGAATAAGGCTAATAAAACTCTCACTGAACAAACTCTTTTAGATAGTAAAAAAAAAGAATTAGAAGAGTTATTGAGAAGACAGAGTGATTCTAAGCCAAGTGATAAAACTGCTCTTTATATTGGGTGTGGAGTAATTGGAGTAGTTTTAGTTCTTGTTATCTTTATAATTGCGAGAATTCGCAAAAAAAATAGAAAATATTAAATTGCCTATGGTCAAAAAGATAGTAAATAGCAAATTAGAATAACCTTAAAATCAATTGCTACCTAATTTGTTATAAAAAACTTAATTGTCGTTGTAGTGATTGTAAATAATTTTTAAGCATATAAATTAAAATAAATAAAATTTAACACAAAAATATGAAACTAAATTTGCCTTCAACTTTAACTAGTCAAAAAATGCCAACTCTTTTTTTGCTTGCTTTTTTACGAGTCAATGGAGTAAAAGCCGGTGAATTATTCGAGAAGTGTCTTGCTGTAAATAATGCAACCAATACTTATAACAACTTGCTTAATTTTCCTTTCAATAACAGTGAGTACAGTGCAAACTTGACTGGTGGAGGCAATGGAATAACTTTGAACCTTTGTTGTAACAGTTCTGGATGTTCACCGAGAATAGGAGTAACTTGTCCTGTTGAAACTCGTTGATGTAATAGAATTGCTCAAACAACATTTTGTGGTGGTAATCCGTGTGCTGGCATTGTTGGAGATACACTAATTACTTCTAACACTACTCTTGGTAGTTGTCCTGATCTTGACCAAATAGCTAGCAACCTAACTAGTACGCCTCCTGATAATATATTTGGATATTCAAGAGGATATTTTTGTCCAGCTATCTCCTGCCCACCAGGAAATGTGACATTTTTAAGTTGTACTTGAGATAATGATGGTTGAACCTGTAATGATGATAATGTCACTCCTAGTAATTGACATTGTAGGCTACAGTGAACCAATAATACATCAAACTTAATTAACTCTACAACTAGTTCCAAAACTTCAATGACTTCTTTTCCCACTAAATCTCCGTCAGCAGGCACTGCTCCTAGCAAAACTAATTTAGTCAAAATAATTGTTCCGGTAACAGTAGTTGTAGGAGTTTCTGTAGGTGGTGGAATAATTTACTGTATCTATAAGAAAAGCAAAACTAAAAAAAGAAAAAGAGAAGAGTATCATCAACAGAAAATAATTAAAGAAATTGAAATCAAAAAAGACCACGAAGAAAAAAAGGAACAGATGGAGTCGTTAATCAAAAAAAAATTGAGAGACAGTGAAATAAGAAAACTAACTTTTTTTAACGATTTACCAACAAGTGTTGAAAATAGTTGACTTAATAAGAACTGTGCATTATTTATTAGCAGAAAATTAAATAAAAATGATGACTGTTGCTTGTGAATTGCTGTCTATGAGCCTCCTTTTGGAGAAATAAAAGCAGATGTCAAACTAGTAAAAATTGAAAAAACATCGGCAATTGAAGGTAAATGAGGAGAAATAATAGAAAATTTCAAAAATATGCTAAAAAGAAGTGAGTATCCTGGTGCAGAAATACATAATAACATTTACACTACTAAATTACCGCCACTAAACCAAAATTATAAAAATGTATCAAAAAGAAAAGTAAAAATATCTGATAATTTTGATCCTGACGACTACATTAAAAAATATGACATTGTCAAAAGAAAAATTAAAGAGTTAGGAGGCGTTGCTCATCATTATGCCATTTATCTAGGTAATGGAGAAGTAGTTCATATTTCTCGCTCTGAAAAAGAAAAAAGTAAAGGAGAATTTGGTGCCCGAAAAGGTACATGGAAAGAATTTATCAAAAATGAAAAAGAAATAGAGATTAATCATCCTTTTATTCCTTTCAAAAAACCAGATTTAATTCAAAGGCATATTGAAATAGCACTAAATGCTAAGTATGGGAAGGGCAAGTACGAATTACTGGGAAACAACTGCGAACACTTTGCCACGATGTGCGTTTATGGATTAGGAATGTCTCGACAGACTAGACGTACAAAAACCTATGCTGACTATCTATTGCAGGCAATACAGGAAAACAATCAACTATTTAAAGAAATGGAAAGTGATTTGATAGAAAAAGGGGTATTAAAGGCAAATAATTATTCAGAAATTCAAGCAGAATCATCAGGAAGTAATAGTAATCAGGAAAATATTCAGGCAAAGGAAGAGATTATTGAGGTTGATAATAATCAGCAAGAGGATCAATGCATAAATCAAATGGCAATCCCACCTAAAGAATAGCGTGCCTCTAAATCAACTAATCAATTCCCTCCCCCTCGACCGACTTTCCTTCCTCCACCGCGACCTCACTAATTACCACTCCAAATGAACCAAAGATAAAGTAATTGAACTAGTTGATTTATCGATTATTGAAGACTTTTACACTTTTTTACAATACCTAAATCGAGCAGTTTCAGCAGCTGGTGCCAGCACCTATTTAGTTGGCGAAGCCCACGAGAACACTACTTACAAAAAAATAGGAGGCACTATTGCAGTAGCCTCTCTTTATGTCGACTTTTTAGCCTCTTACGGCAAAGAAAAACTCTTTAAACCGGAAGAGAGAAAGAAAAAATGAGACAAATTGCTTAATGACACGGAAAACTTGCAAGATAGTTATCAAGAATTAGCCGAAATACTAGAACCTATTAATATTTCTAGTTCTTGAGGAAAGTTAGGCGAGGTAATTAAGTCTCTAAAAGACAAAATCCGAGAACTGCTAAAAAAAGACGACAATGGTAATCTAAGAGAATTGTCTTTACTAAATGATGGTCCGAGTGAGTCTTCCGGAATTAAACAAAGACTGGGCAGATTATTCAGTAGCAAAAGGCACTTACTAGAAAACTGACAAAAATGAGGAGAAGAGTGAGAAGAAAGAAGAAGTAAACAAAAAGAGGTTAAGTGCTTGTTAGGAATCTTGCAGTGAGCAATTTAAGTATCGGCAAGGTGTTGCTGAGAGCGAGATAGAAAAAGTCATTGAAAAAAGATTGTTAGAGTTGGGAATGAATGATTTAGAGAAAGAAGAAAGAGAATTAGAAGCCTATGTTGAAGTTTCTCCTAAGCAATAAATAATTAAAAACCCTTGTCCAATTGCTTCTTTTTTTAAAATTAATAATATAATAAAGCGAGTAAAAATATACTCTTGATAATCTCTTTTATCCTTATGAATACTAATAATATCTTGTGACCATTAAATAGTTTCCTTGGGAGTCTTGGGAAATGCCGTAGCAGGGAACGACGTTGTTAAATCAATCATCAATGATTTTATGTTTTTCGGTTTCTTTAAGAAATTCGGTGTTATTTTGGGAATTATGAAGGATTTTGAGAACTACTTCCTGCTTACGTTTGCTCATTAGTTCTTTAAATTCTGTTCGTAGTTGAATTAATTCTGACTTGGTTTGACAAAGATTACTAATTTCTTCTTCGGTTAGCTTTCCACTCAGTCCTGATTTAATGTTTTCTAGTGCTTTAACAAATTTCCTGGGAGTAGTTGGAAAATTGCTAAAAAATGACTTTAATTTTTCTTCTCTTTCTTCACGTTTGGCCTCAGAAAATTTGCTGTTGCTTTTTAGTTTAGTTTTGGCTGAATTGATTGAACTTTCTAAAATAGATAATTTAGATTTAATTTGTCGTGATAGGTTTTCTTCACAATCTTTTTCTCTTATCCATTGCCTATTTTCAGTGTCCCAATGATGAATATTTCCCATGGTTCACTTAGCTTTGTAGACTTTCCCAAAACCTCCCTCAGCGAGATACTCAACATTAGTAAATTGCTCATAAGGAATTCATTCGATAAATTTATCAGCGTCAGTGGCTCGCAATTGATATTTTTGGATGAATTCGTCTATTTCGGGATTATGGCTAGTTCAACTGGAAAAATTTTCTTGTAAACGAGGAACATTACAAGCTTGACATCATTGTTCTCCGGTGTTTAATTGGTTACACTCAGAACATAAGCCGTAGTTTTTGAACTTACTACTTAGTTCCTGGTATTCTGTTTGGTAATTGGTGATTCATTCAGGTCCATAATTTTTAACATCTTTTAGTCAAGCAACGAATTCATAGTCATTTAATTTAGTTCCGGCTTTTGTTCAAGTTTTCATTTGTTGGTCTGTAAAGCCAAGCTTTATTCAGTTGTTTTTTAAGTCGTGAAGTTTTTGGGGGAAGTTTTCTATGTTTCCGTTGCTGCCTTTGTCTATTTCTTCTTGTTCGTTAGCCAATAAGTTATAAATTGCTTGGCATTTGGCATCTTTTCTTAGGTTTGCTAAACAATAAAACTTTCTAACACTCTCTGGCAAATACTCTAGACCACCATCAATTTCGGTATTACTAATGCTAAGCGTATGTAGTCTTCCCATTTCTTTTAAATATTCTAAAGAACCCGTAAAGTTATTATTTGCTAAAAAAAGCTTTTCTAAATTAACTGCTCTTTGCAAAAAAGATAAGTCTTGCTGGAAGTTATTGTCTCATAAATTTAATTTTTTTAAATTACTGGCATCCTTAGGCAAAGTAAGGTTAGTTAGTTGGTTATTAGTACAAATAATTTTAATTAAACCAGGACAATTATTTAAATCTAAGTTAGTGAATTGGTTGTTAGAACAATTAATTACCTCTAACTGAGAACAATTGTTTAGGTTTAGGGAAACCAGATTATTTCCGGAGCATTCTAATGATTCTAAATTAATAAAATCAGATAAATCTAATTCTCCTTGGAGGTTTTTTTGGCTAATATTTAGTCGTATTATTTCTTTTCTCTTTTCAGGAAGATAAATAGTATAACCCTACTCAAAAAAAGTGTCAGGTTTTTTATATCCATATTCAATTTCTACTTCATCTACTATTGATAATAAT